TGCTCGAAGCGCAGAAAACTCGCCGAGGTTCCTAGTTGAACGGGCTCCCGCCTCCGCTTGGTGTTCAAACAGCCCGTGGAATGTCAGTATCTTGCGCCTACCCATAAGGCCAACAATAGAAACTCTGAGTGTTGATGCCTATCTACTTGACACATGGTTCATAGAGACAGCTCCGCGCTGCGCTCGCCGAATCCACCATCCCTCCTCTCATTCTGGTCTTTATCAGCAAAGCTGACATTCATTGGTCAAGGGTACCAACAATCCTGATACCCAGGAAGTTCAAAAGACACAGTTAGCACCGCCTGCGTCTGCCTGTTTGACATAGGCTCTCTCCCCCAGATATAAGTGGATGTTCGATTAATACACACTTGACGTAAGAAATGAAGCAACAATACAAACTAGCATCGTGCACTTTCTTGTAAGGAGCCAACTAGATTCAACAACAAGTCAAATCATATCTAGCATACCTCAAACTATCAAAGAATTGGATGTACTGCATTTTCTTGTCGGCCTTTGCTACGGACGATAAACTGAATTGGGGAGGCGGCATATTGAGGCGGACTATGGGCAGGGTTTGAGGCGGATGTTGACCTTGCTACCTAGATCTGGGAGAGCAGAATGATGTTTCGATGCATTCTCATGACTCTAGTACAATGGCTGAGTCATGAAGCTAACTGGCCTGTTCATAAACAAATAAATGAACCAAGTATCAACTGGGTACTTTGTTGCCGACTACTAGTACTTAGTTCCGGAAGGACGAGATAACAACCCAAGTAAGTCTCTTTAGTGGCATGGTTGATAGGTTCGTCCGGTCCCGACTCAGTTTACAAAACACACTATGTCAAACGAGCATTGTTTTATGTTGACGTTGATGGCTGGATTAAAATAAGGCCTATACCTACGTAATGAGATATAGGTGTAAGAAAAGAAAAAAAATGTATATCGGAATGCCCCTTAGGTATGATCGCCTTGGCAGAATCCAGTGTCGCACCCTATTCGGAAAGCGGCGACCGATTCGTCAGGCAGGTGGGGGGTGGGGGGTGTATCAGTCCCCTATAAATAAAGTCACAATATTAATTAAGAGAGCTAAGCTGTACAAGGATGGGTTAATATTCAACGGTCTGTGCACCGTTGAAAATACGTTGGCTGAGGACGATAGCCCCCACCTAATTTTGATGAAGCTGTAGTTGCAATGCAGGCCACGCATACATACACATATAAGTTGGTCTAGTCGATACCCTGGCGAGTTGTCGTCCTCGACCTTCAGATGTGTTGTGGAAAACGAGTTTGGAGGTGGCAAAACAGGATCAACTGCTTTTAGAGGGAATTGTTTTTCTAGCTAGTGATGAAAAAGAACGAACATCATGTAGTTGCGCATATGTATTGGTCTCTTGGTTTATTCATGTAAGAAAGCCATCTCATTTGATGATCTTACCACGTCTGTGTACGCCTGACAAGACATCTGAAACAAATATCTGAAAATATCCTTAGAGTGTCCTTACAAGCAGCGTCCCTAATATTCTGTCGGACAAAATAGATCGGTTCATAGAAGTCTTAGGCCCGCAAGCACTTCGGTTTGATGAGCGGCCAACTGTTGTTGTATGAACCCAATGGAATCTGCTATTGGTTTGCAAAGGATCATACCACCGAGGGTTGGTGGAAAGCCACACATACTCCTTTCAGTGTTGACCGTCTGTCTTTCCGGGCCGTCCTTTAAGTAGAATGATTGTCGTGGCTTGGAAGATGTATGAGGAGCACTGCGAATGCGGACGACACTCTGGTAGACAGAGGACAAGGGGGTCAATTGACAGAAGGATGTGGGAACTGGATAGGCCTTGCGATTCGTACGATGCCTGATTCGATCGATGCACAAGGACGGCAAGACCATCGATGCCTCTTATTAGCCATTTTGTTAGCAGCCTCTCGCTTCAGCACCCCTGCCATAATCGCTTCAGATGCAGCCCATCGATATCCCAAGGGTTACCTCTTGAGTGCCAGATCTGCTAACGGGTGTGATTTTGTACGTTGCGTGCCCGAAGTTTGTTCTCAAACGAGTTGTCGTCGAGCTAAGGCACACGGTGATGTGGGGCCGAGAATTACGTTCCATGGATTCGATGTGGGTATTATGGCCGGGTGGGTCGCAAGCACAACGGCTCGTGATAGAGCTTGTTTCAAGTACCTTGCACGTCTGGGAGAGAGATTATCTCGACAGGGTCATGAATCATATGGTAGGCAAAGTAATGTAAAAGTAAAGAAAATAATAAGATCATAGAGAGGTTGAGGTACCATATACCAGTAATCGTGGCACGGCCCACCAACACTTACCAGGTGTTGGTGGGGATTTTATTTACAAGGAAGTGGGTTTATATATGTTGTATGTAGCTTCTAAGGTTTGCCCGATGTTTGTTAAGTATAACTGAAAGGTAAAGTTTTGTGTGGATACGCCCTTATAGCTCAGTGGTTTAAGTCTACGATATGTGGACTAAGCCCTGCAGTGATGTTGCGGACCAGGTCGTGAAAGGGAGGTCAGTTGGGTAATATGGGGGCTGCCTGGTTCGAACCCAGGAGTAATCATGCCTAAGGGGCATTCCACGCCCCTTTTTTTCTTTTTTTTCCCTTCATATATCATATATCTTATGCCTTATGCTACTTCACAGCTAATTAATATTGTGACATTATTTTAAACCTCTCTGTCTCCTTTTTCACGTCTTCAAGTTGAGTATGGTTCTACGGATGAAACCATTGTCACGGTTATCAGCATAGATTCTCCTTTTAGCTCTTAACCTCTCACGCTGGTACTCCTCACAAATCATCTTGTGGGAAGAACCTTCTTCACATCCCATCACCATTTTCGATACTGCATTTCCATTGTCGCCTAAACGACGCCTAGGAAATTATTAATAGGTTTGTGTTAGGAGAGGTCAACGTGGTGGACGTCGAAGTGCATATTGCAATGTGAGGTTGATTGAAGAGCTAATAGTTACAGAGAGACTAATAAATCCGACAGCCCCCACGTACATGAAACCATGGACTCGTGCCCCCCACCCACGAAGCAAACCTAGTTGTCGAAAAGGTTGTTGTAGCGTGCGATGGGGTTGCTAAGAGTATTAGCTGTAGTGGGTTTGTTGGTGGTAGTGTTAGCCGGAGTATTGACCACGTTAGCTGACTTGGCGTTGGTGGGATTCTGGAATCACTCCTCTGAAGTGTGAGACGGTCTTTTGCTGTTTGAAAGTGTAGAAGGGCTTTGGCTTGTTGCTGAAACTTTTCGAGAGTCTGTCGTAGCGAGCCGATTGTTGACGTGACGGGTGCGTCGAAGGAGAGGCACCTGCTATTGCGAGCATCGAAAGAGAGAGACACTTGTTGTTGTTATGGGGGTGCTAGCGCTTCATAAGGGCTGAAAACCTATACGCATTTGTAGTGACCATCGAGAGGGAGGATCCCGTTGAGAACGTTCGCTAGTGTCAAAGCTAGGTAGTTATTTGTGTGGCCTGGTCGGTTGGCCCGTCGCTGACAGAGGCGCTGATGAAGCGGCTAGGGTGCGTCGAAGGAGAGGCACTCCGTGATACCGTTTGTGGGTGTCCGTCGAGGTGGCCTGGTCGGTTGATCTCGATGGTGACGATGGTGATCCCAAATGTATTCTCCAGTGAGCAGTGAGAGGCGGTAGTTAAGTGGTAGGCATGGAGGCACCCAAGGGCGTTGTGGTGCTGCTTTATTATGAAGTTCAGCGAGGCGCGGCAAATGCTGAGCAAGATATTCCTCGGCGTGCAAGCTTAGATTTGGACTGCAGTCGACGAGAGAGATGTGACAATAATGATGGCAGAAGACCCTTCTCGCCTGAGCATAGACCGCCATCTCTGCCTAGGGGGTGTCGGTGACTGTCAGATTTATTAGTCCCTCTGTAACTCTCAACTATTCAATAAACCTCACATTGCACCATGCACTTTGACGTCCACCACCTAGACCTCTCCTAACAGGTTGTGATCCCCTGGATGCTCTATTCACTGTCCTCATCGTCATCCTCCGTCGGCGCCTCCATCGTCACCATCGTCACTGCCATTTGTAACTGGCAAGCGCTTGTGTCAGTTGGACTCTCAGGGAGTTCGTTCCCAACCACATTCGCCTCAACAAGACCCGATCTATTGGCATAGGAAGCGGAATGCGGAACAGGAATTTCCAGCTTTTTTCCTTTGGTTGCGAGTTACACAATCTCCCAAGGTCGACCATCCTATCAAACACCCTTGTCCAGGGAAGTTGCCCGATGCTAACAAGCCTTATGGTGCGAGTAGAGCTACATTTAAATGTGCAACTCCGCATGAATTGGTTGCTAATGCCGTCCATCCTCGTTATGCCTCCTGGGAGACACGTTATAATGTCTGGTTGAATGGACAGCAGATTCAAAGTTCTATATGCTGACCATGAGCAGTATCGGATCCACATATCCCGATCAGCAAGAGGCCATGACAAGCAATGGTGTACTGGTAAGTGATACATATGAAGGAGGGGACGAGTATGGCAGGTATAAACGCACCATGGACGGGAGTGCTTGTCTCATTTAGTTGAAGGACTGAAGACAGAATTGGATAGACCTGTTACACACTGGGCAGGCCCAGGGATATTTGTCTGCAAAGCAGAAATGAAGTCATTATAGTTCCGTACGTGCAATAGTGTAAAGGTCAGGCGATTTATAGGGCGTGGACGATATTTAATATAGGCAAATCAGGCGGCACTCTTGATCATGGATTCCCTCAGAGATTGCCTGGCGTGTATCTAGATCATGGATTCCCTCAGAGATTGCCTGGCGTGTATCTATGATTGATAACATTCGTGTAGGTGTGTGTAGTAGCAGGTGTCTCATCAATGCTCGATTTTTGTTTTGTTTCCTTTTCTTCCCTTCTTCCTTCTTCTCTCTTTCTTTTCCGCACTCCTCCATTATTTTCTCTACGTGTTTCTTTTTCTTCCCTTCTTCCTTCTCTCCATCTTCTCCGCGCAGACCGCTGAAAATGAGACGACCGGCGCTGGCCAATGGCCACATGCGCTCAGCCAGTTGCCCACCGGCAATCAGCAATGAAGTTGGCACCTTGAGCCAATTTCAAACCAGCCAGCCTGAACCGCCCTCCAGTTCAGGCGAGTCAGCGACCAGCTTGGCAGACTCGGCAACCGCACCGGATGAGTCGTCCTCTAATCTAGAGGAGCTTGAGGAGGGCGAGATCCCCTCCACTACCAATCTCGCTGAGTCGCCCTCTAATCTAGAGGAGCTTGAGGGCGAGATCCCTTCCACTACCAATCTCGCTCCCGTACCGGATGAGTCGCCCTCTAATCTAGAGGAGCTTGAGGAGGGCGAGATCCCCTCCACTACCAATCTCGCTGAGTCGCCCTCTAATCTAGAGGAGCTTGAGGGCGAGATCCCTTCCACTACCAATCTCGCTCCCGTACCGGATGAGTCGCCCTCTAATCTAGAGGAGCTTGAGGAGGGCGAGATCCCTTCTACCCCACCACCAACTACCAATCTCGCTCCCCCTCCGCCAAGTCCCCGGCCTTCAATAGCCCCACGACCCCGGAATTCACGCGCCCGAGTCTCAGTCGCCCCCTCACCTGAGCCAATCCTGGGACACTCCCAACACACGCCTGTACAGCCCAATGGTGGACTGGATAGCAAACGGAAACGTGCCTCAACCGATGAGGGACTTGCCGACCAGCCTCAGTCCAACAACAAGAAAAGAAATAAGCGGGACTATCGCGTGGATAGGACAAACTTTAAATACTCTGGGGAGTTAGGGCACGACTTCTTTGGGTTCATTTGCTTTGTCAATGACCATAGGGCTTGGGATATTGCGGATGGTATTCTTCAGCTACCTATTCCACAAAGCGTATCAAAGCGGCTAGTATACTTTTGCGATGCTTCTATCCGCTGTCTGTGTGGTGCGGCCGGAATTGTCTGGCCACGCAGCCTTGCCTTCAATGAATGGGAGGGGAAGGGGGTATTCTACCCCCTGAGCACTCACGATAGCGGCACTGTCGAGCTTTTCGCAATCGCATGCACGCTTGAACTGGCAATCAGCCAGATAGATGGAGAAAGGACAACTGCGGAGGAAAGGCTCCGTGGAGACAACGACGTCCTTCAGCGGAATTTGTCGCTCACCAAATCCCATCTCCATGGGATGACTAAGGAGGTCTTCGTCTTCACAGACGATATCAATGCTCTTAGACGCATTGGCGGGTCCGTGGCTTATGACCCAAAGGGAGATATGGCCAGCCACTTGGAGGCCATCGCACGCCACTCGGGGACACTCAGTAAGCTCGGCGTACACGTTGAGCTTCACCTGAGTCCTGGGCATTCCAATGTGCCTGGTAATGAGGCTGCCGACAAAATGGCCAAAAAGGCCCAGAATGAGCTGTTTGTCCAAACAGCAATCTCTTGGCCGGCTATGGAGTGGTCGGACCAAGGACAAGCCCCTCTCGACCTCCCCTCTCCCCTCTAAGCTTAATGCTGCAGTGATGAATGGTTGAGCATTAGGCGGGGAATACTGGAAAGCTAGTTCTTTGACAGTGTGCTTAGTTGTGAGAGTAATATGATCAAATTTTAATTTATGGACTACCAAACGTCGAGTCTCAGAGGATACGACCCGTATTTCAAAATCCCTCAATGGTTACACTTGCAGGGTACGAATTCCAATCCAGCCTAAAGGTTAGCGCTAAGGCATATCATCTAATGCAGGTTTTACTTGGCAGGCCTTGACTAATTATTCAGGATTGGTGTATTTACCGCCTTCTTAATCGGATGCGACACTGGATTCTACCATGCTTTCTGCCAGTGCAGAGTTTTCTGCCTTTTTTTCTGTCACCACTAAATTACTTAGATTACTTAGTAAAAAAACACGCATTTTGATCAGAAGAAATCACATATCTTCATTGATTTAAGCATTTATATACTCATACAGGTTGAATATGGTTCTCGTGTAGGTCCCCGCGCGAGATTTCCACGTCTTCGGCCCCGTCCTCGGCCCCGTCCTTCGTCTCGTGCACGTCCTCCGGTCTCGGTATCACTGTTAACACTCTCGGTACTTGATAAGGGGCTCGGCTCGCTAGTTAGCTCGGCGGGTAGAGAGGCCCGGGGATCATCTTTAGATCCGAACCGGATGGTTTACGGTTTGAAAGGCCTCAAGAGGCCATTTTCATAGCTGAAATGGGACCCACCCTTGAACGGGTGGTGGGACGCGTGGGTGCTCTAGTGGTCACGCTAGTCCATCTCCGGACTAGCCTAAGGCCTTATTTTCACTGCTATGTACTGAGTACCTGGATACTGTAAAGTACAATCCCAATTGCGTACATCGCGAAAAAAAAAAAAAAAAGTGCTAACAGCCCAGGATGTATTATGCATATAAATCATATGGCTGGATTGAAGCGCAAAAATTCTACCCCCTAAAATTAGCTAGCTAATGCCCTTCGACCATGTCGCAGACAACTTGGACTGTGTTGATTTACTTATTTCATCCACCGTTCTCTTCATTCTCCTCTTGAACTTATCGAGGCTTGTCGGCTATTCATTCGGACCAGTGCTCAACTGTTTGAGGCCAGAGGTCAATTGGCTCAAACCAGATATTGACTTTGTTATGTCAGTCACAGATTCGTTCAGCCTAGGGGTAGACCTCCTTAGGACGTTCCCAATCTGGTTCAATATGTCATTTTTCTCCCTTACCAACTCATAATAAACATGTCACGCCTGTGAGGTTAAAATATGGAACAACGTAACTTAAGTTGGAATGGAATAACCATGGCGCTAGATTAAGCAAAAAGGGAAAGAAAAAGAAAGAAAAATGTACAGAGTAGAAATTCCCCTGGTTGAAAACTCTGGGATTCGAACGCAGGCCCTCACTCCCACACCGCTCTCTATCACGGCTCATACTATTAATTAAGAAAGCTGGGAAGTAGCATAAGACATAAGATGTAAGATAAAGGAAAGGTAAAAAAAGGGAAAAAAAGGTGTATATCGGAATCCCCTTTAGGTAAACAAGACCCCTGGGGTCGAACCAGGTTTGGTCCGTTACCCAATTGACCTCCCTGTCACGACCTGGTCAACCACTACTGCAGGACCTAGTCTACATATCGTAGACTTAAACCACTGAGCTATAAGGGCGTATCCACACAAAACTTTACCTTTCAGTTATACTTAACAAACATCTTTAACTGCAAATTGGGACGAGGTACAACATGTCTATCGATCGACTTATTTTCATATCTCCAGTATATCTCTAAATAGATTACCCCCGCACATATAATCTCTTAGAACCTTCTAAAAATAATATTCTGGGCCCAGTAACACATTACGTCAAAGGTGGTACAGACTAGGAGTAAGTACCTCAACTGTATTGAAACTATCAGTCGTAATAACCTTGGAACTACCTCAAGCATCAACCTACTTACACTTATATTGGTTCAATGCGGCTGAAAAAGACACCATTGCCATCCGTACTAGAAATATCAGCTTAGAAGTGGTGAAAGAAATTACAAGGGCGTCGAAGCGCATCAGGTGTAGGTGTAATATGTGGGTCGACAGCCAGGTAGTTCCGTGGGTCCGATCTATGTATCTGCAAGGTAAACCGAATTTTATTTTGACAACGTCCACATCTAAAAGATTCAAGTATACGCACTCTCCTCTTTTCCCTACTAAAACTGCTTTAATATTGATTTCACTCGAGAGTACCAGTGAGAATATGTCCACTTGTAATTTAAGTTAAACGTAATGAAGAGGGAGGAATTCGGACGATAGAACTCACCGAAGACAACCATAACAAGCCTGGATCCTCTCGCATCCCTAGTAAGATAAAGAATAGATATAGTGAAGTGAGGCAGTAGTGATATGAGTGAAAATAGACTAGAAACCTCCCTTTGTGGGTCCAATACATGTTGAACTGCACTTAAGCCCCGGTCATACTGGAATCCCGGGCAACGAAGCTATAGATAAAGTGGTAAAATGGGCATAGTCTGCGCTTCGGCATCAGCGTACGGCCGACTATTAAGTCGGCCAAGAACCAAACAGAGAAGACCTCGGAAAACTTTGTAGATTTCGTTTTGTGATAGTGTTGCTGAGTTATGTCTGAATACGACCAAATCCCGATTGAAGAACTAGCAAATATATTGGTGTACTACCATGATGACATTGGCCGTTATGCCCCTTCGCACTTGACCCACTCAATGGTCGGCCAAACGCTGATGCGGAACCCAAGACTGGGCCCGTTTTGCTACTTTATCCGTTGCCCGGGATTCCAGTATGATATTGATGGCGGTATCACGGGCCATATGGCCGTCGATTTGAGATGCAAACCCTGTGAACTCCTGGCCGAGCTGCCAACAGAACCTTTCGTCTCGTTTTGTTCGGTGCTTGCTTTCTGTTTCTTGCTACAGACGGATCGAACAGTAGCGTGTTTTCGCTTGCCATTGGTCGCTGAATCGCCTGCATTCGAGGGCGGTTCAGGTTGGCTGGTTGAGAATTGGCTCAAGGTGCCAGCGTCCTCATTCAGACCGGAAGCTACCTCACATGTGTTGGAGATAGATCTCCACATCGGGGATTGGCATTTGTGGGCTGGTGGTAGATTCTCTCATCGTACTAGTCGCATGCCCTATTTCATCGCTGATTGCCGGTGGGCAGCTAGCTGAACGCATGTGGCCTTTGGCCAGGGCCGGTCATCGCATTTTCAGTGGCCTGTGGACTTGTCTTGATATGAATAATCTTTGAATGATAGCGTGAATGAGATGATTAGTTGCGGTAAGATAACACGCAGAGAAAATGGCGGAGGAGCGCGGAGAAGATAGAGGGCAGAAGGAGGAATAGAAGAAGAAGAAAGTCGCAGAGAAAACAATGGAGGAGCACAGAAAAGAAAGAGAGAAGAAGGACCAGTGAGAATATGCCCACTTGTAATTCAAGTTAAAAGTAATCAATAGGGGGAACTCGGATGACAGAACTCACCGAAGACAACGCAACAAGCCTGGATCCTCTCGCATCTCTCGCAATATAAAGAACAGACACAGTGAAGTGAGGCCGTAGTAAGTGAGACTCGATACGAAAGTGAGGCCGTAGTGAGTGAGATGGAATACGAAAGTGAGAATTAAGTGAAAGATAGACTAGACCCTTATGTGGGTTGGATCATGGGAATACCCCAATATATGTGCTAGACTATACAATAGGAGTATTATTTGCTAGTCTTTCAATCGGAATTTGGTCGTATTCATACATAACTCAGCAACACTATCACAAAACTAAGTGTACAAGGTTTTCCCTTCGTGACTTTACAGGGCCTGCCGAGGTCTTCTCTGTTTGGTTCTTGATCGACTCAATGGTCGGCCGTACGCTGGTGCCGAAGCCCAGACTGGGTCGATTTCGCCACTTTATCTGCAGCTTCGTTTCCCGGGATTCCAGTATGGCCGGGGCTTAGGTGCAGTTCAACATGCACCCCGAGCTCACTAAGCGTCTTCGAGTGGCGGCTAATAGCTGCCAATTGACTAGCAATACCCCCACTGGGGATATAAGACACTCTCCCATCAATGCGTTTCAGAGCATTAACATCATCAGTAAAGATGAATACCTCTTTACTCATTCCATGAAGATGCGATCGGGTCTGGTTCAGGTGGCTTTGGAAGAATATGTTGTCTTGAGGTTGATTCCGATCAACATCTGCGCGGGGCTCCTCGATATCCCTAATGGCCATCTCTAAGGTACAAGAGATGCCGAAGAGCTCCAGGATGGCCGTGCTGTCAATATCCACGGGGTAGGGAAAGCCCATCCCCTCCCACTTGGTAAATGTGAAGTCTTTTGGCCAGACGACGCCAACTGTACCACAGAGCGACTGTATGGATGCATCACAGAAGTAGACCAGTCGCTTGGAGACATTTTTTGGAACAGGAAGTTTAAGGATATTGATGGCGATATCACGGGCCTCATCGCCGTCGATTCGAGATACATATCCAGTGAACTCCTGGCCGAGCTCCCAACAGAACCTTCTCGTCTCGTTTTGTTCGGTGCTTGCTTTCTGTTTCTTGGGTGGGAGGAGGCCACCAACGTATTGAACAGTAGTGTGCTTTTGCTTGCCATTTGGTACACAATCGACTCGGGCATCCACCTGTGGGCGCTCTTCTTGGGTGGACTCAGGGGGCGGGTTTGCGGATCGGACGTACCGATCCGGGTCTCCCCAGGGTGCGCGGCGCGATCCATCTGGGTAAAATGCACCATGCTGGCTGTTCAGGATAGTTGGCAAAATATCCTCGTCGTCAATTTCAATGGACGGGATTATGGAATAGGGAGGGCTCGGGGCAGTTGGGTGTAGGTCTTCTTGTTTCTGGTCGCCAGACTCGACTTTCGTGGTTGCATGCGGGGCAATATCAGTTGACAAAGTTTCCTCGTCCTTTATTTCAACAGACGGGAGTCGGGGATAGTGAGGAGGAGGGGGACTTTCCGCGATTTCTCCTTCTTCCAGCTCCCCATCCTGGAGTTCTGTGGTTGTGACCGGGGTATGTTGAGCGGGTGGGTGACTCAGTGGAGTCTCTCCATCCTTAAGCTCAGTGGGCGTACCCTCTTTTGTTCCAGGTGGAGGGGGAAGCGTTGTTGGAGGGTTGTGCGATCGTCGGAGGTCCCAATCCTTATGGATCGGGTCCGAGTGGCATGGGATCATGGTTACTGTCGGATTCAACTTGTAGGATAGTGGGACTTGAGGTAAATGAGAGAATCTTATGGGAGGTAGAATTGTGAGGAATGCAGAGATTGAGGAGGAAAGAGGAGAAGAAAAGGATCACTTGTCACCAAGCTATCAGTCGACCCCTACAGATTTACCTAAAAAGCATTGCTTACAACAGGAGCTACGCTATAGCATCGTGGGCCCTTAGATGGGATGAATTGTTACTAAGTCGTGTCATTAAACTGAACAAATTCGATTGAAGAACTAGCACCGCATGATTATATTGTACTCAATTGTAAATTGAATTGAATCTAAATCGAGACTAAAGTGAATCTGAAGTGAATCTGAACTGAATCATCTTGTAGACAGTTGAAAAAGGAATAATTCAACATCATAGCTATACATGTTCAATACAATACGCTACTATACAAATTGAAATTAGAGTATATGTTTCAATAAGGCGGTGATGAAAAGGTGGTGAGGTTCATTTCTTTTTTACTCCTTGCACTTCATTTATTCGAACTGTAGTATAAAAAAAAGTTACTGATTAATATCTATATTTCTCAGATAGAAGGAAGTAGGTGAAGTCTCAAATATATTGGTATAACAAATATATGGGGCTAGGTGTTTGTTAAATTTAACAAAATGGAAGCATTTTGGAATGACAACCCCTCATAGCTCAGTGGCTTGTTCTCCGGAATTTGAGCATCCTGTATAGCTATGGTTGGCCAGGTCGTGACAGGGAGGTCTGATTGGGCGAGTAACTACGTGCGTTCGACCCCGCGAGTGAACTTGCCCAGGGGAGGTTCATTTTTTTTTTGGTTCCTGACACTTTATTTTATTTTGGATCTATCTTCACTTATTCTAACCTGCAGTACAAAAATAGATCCTGACTAGTACTGCTATGTGTTTCAATCAGAAAAGAAGAATTTTGAGTTCTTTTGAAAGTAGGAGACCACTGTTCGATTTTCCAAGTATGTAGTATGTTGTATGTAGTCAAAATAGACGTGGCTATATACTGTAGATCGGATCCACAGAACTAGTGATGTCGGACCCACATATGGCACCTCCCGAGGTCCGATCTGCCCCGCCTAAACGTCATTCCACTTCAACAAATACCCGACCGAAAGCTTCAGAGTGTCACCTCTCCGTTGCATTCATTGCATTGGCAATTCTGGAATCCGCGGGATTTACGTTGCCTCCAAACTACACGACTGCGATACTCTCTCCATCTTCCCAGCCCGACCCAAAGACACACCCAGCCCCCGACCTACGATCCAGAAACCGAACCAAACCTCCTTCTCCACCATGGCACCTCTCATCCGAGTCATTGGATCCCTCAATGCCGATATGGTCTCAGTCACACCCCGATTCCCAGACCCAGGCGAGACAATCACCTCCTCATCCTACTTCACCAGCGCGGGCGGCAAGGGCGCAAACCAAGCCGTCGCATGCGGACGCATGTCCCGAGCCAAGCCAACAGGCACCACAAACTCCACAAGCGACGTCAATGTCGAGATGATAGGCGCAGTAGGAGCCCTGGATGGCCACTTCTCCTCCTTACTCAAGCCGACCCTCGAGAGATCTGGAGTCGATCCGACTCGAGTGAAAGTCATCGAGAACGCATACACGGGTGTGGCGGTGATTATCGTGGACTCGTCAGCCGGTGGCGAGAACCGCATTCTCTTCTCGCCTGGTGCAAATTACGATGGCATGCAGCCTACCCCGGATGTGCTGGGCATGGCGCTAGCGGCGCCCGTACCCGATGTCATTGTTATGCAAGGCGAGATCCCGGTCGACACGGTTACCGGTATACTACGTGAGATAGCAAAGCACAAGGCCAAGTCTCGCGCTGCTGGGAAACGTGGCATTGAGTGCGGTCCGGATGTTATGCTTAACCCGGCACCTGCGCCGCCCGGTGGTTTGCCCGAGGATGTATACGCTGCTGTCGACCATTTAATCCTGAATGAGACAGAGGCCGAGCTGATGACTCCGCCTGTGGAGCAACTGCTGCGCACTGTGCCGGACGCAGAAGATTTGGAGGAGAAGGAGAAGGTCGCTCGCTATTTCCACAAATTGGGTGTCACCTATGTCTTAATTACGTACGGGGCGAGGGGCGTTTGGTACAGTGCCGCCGATGGCGGCTCGTCTGGACCCAGTGACGGAGTACAGCGCTTCACCAACGATATTCCAGCTGCCCCTGTCCGTCGGGTCTTGGATACTACTGGCGCGGGTGATACATTTGTTGGCGCCTACGCGGTCAGGGTGGCGCGATGGCGCGAGCAGCGTCGCGTGGAGGGCAAGACTGGACAGAATGTTGCGGATGGTGAGAAGACCTACCGGTACAAGACTCTCATGGACGAGGCGATGCGTTTTGCTGCCCGCGCCTCGGCTCGGGCTGTGGAACGTCAGGGTGCCATGGACAGCATTCCTTTTGAGGATGAGATCTGAGGTAATTTCTATGGTAAGTCTGCGATCATATACATTATAATATCACGAGATACTTATAGAATGTACGGATTATCACGGTCGGGATTTCCCGCCTGTAGTAGAATGTCGACGCGATTATACGTCGATGGCGCAATGGACAGGCTCTCAGCTTTCGCGAGGAATGCAACAAGGATCAATATGCCGAGGAATATAATCCGAGCCCACGAGGAACAGGGGGCGCAGGTGCCATCAAGCCTTGGGAACCCTGTCCATGTACTATCCCTATTAATAACCCTCCATCATTCTACGCCTTGAAACAGCCTCTAGGGGCGAATTCCTACTTTAGACCACCTGGACAGCCATCCCGGAGAACATTCCCCAGCCTTGGGTGTTCGACACCCCAGACACCTTGAACCCTTCCCCTGAGACGGAAACCGTACATTGTTTCACATTCACCTCAAATCCCAGCAGGCCCCGGTCGGCCTCTGCATGGTTTCATCCGGTAACCTGAGACCGGATGGGGCATAGCCAATGGAGACAGATGCGCTGGCAGAGTTTCATTAGACATTTCATGCGACATACTTTTAGTGCAATTGTAGACGCTGTTGGTCGCGAATGAGCGCACAGTGCGCAAGGAAGAGATGTGAACGCGAAGTCGCGTACGAATGAACGTGCAAGATGTGGAGGACGTGATGGACGTGGAGGTATTTGGTACTTACGCGATGTATGCGCTAGTAGCGTGATACCAAGTACTCGGTACTTAGTTTAGGCTGACTGACGCGTCCAAGGGATACGCGACATGCAGTACTCAGCGGGGGGGTAATTGAACTTTTGAACTTTTGGCCCCGGTGATTTTGGTAATTGATTTACTTCTATGGACAATTCTAGGGAAATTAAATTAGGAATAGACAACGTTGTAGGACAATGGCACTGTGATATGAGTACATACAAAGTACTCCGTAGATCATACAGAAAAGCGCGTATGTTATAGTCGATCTGCATATTCCCATTGTTCCGACACGAGACAAGAATGAAAGTCAATTGGATTGTGCTGGGAATTGCAATAAACGCCACTTTTCGAATTGGCAAGACCCTCCACAACGTGAACGCGACGCGCTTTTACGGAGTATGCAGGCCTTGAAATACTTCCCTTCGCCCTCCATTTGTGACTCCTCATAGTCCTCTGCTCCTGCTCCTTGCCTCTAAACCCTCTATATCCTAAGCTCTTTATAACGTTCACGAATTATTATATCTACCTCTATCGCTGCACGTCTTTTACCTCGAATCATCCATCCCTTCTCTCTCTCTCTCTCTCTCTCTCTCTCTACGGTGTCGACCATAATCCACCCATTCCTTTCATTTATCTGAACTTCATCCGACCAATTCCTATCATTCCTATCATTTTATTTCATTTTGATTCATTTTGATTCATTTGTCTGACACAATTACCTTTTTTTTCTTTGAATCGTGCGATCGGCCTGTCTAGTGCCTATTGTAGACCGCCAATCTTCCCAAGGCTCCCCCCCACTTGGCGCTGACCAAAACAAAACATCCCTCTCTCTCTCCCTTCTTCCTTCACCATGGCCACTCTCACTATGACTCCTACTCGTCAGCCTTTGGGCTGTTTGGACATGCCATTGATGCGATCAAAACTTAATCGTCAGAACCAGCAAAATGGTACGTGATGATCCATGTTTTGATGTTCCCAAGATGGCTTAGCTCACAATTCCAACCAGGTGCCATGTCCGTGAAGTCAACCCCAATGAAGAACTCAATCTTCATTGACGCCAATTCCGAGAATGTCAACCCAAACACCTGCTCAACAAAACGCAAACGTACATTCGAGGATGACGAGGACAAGAGCGCGTCCAAGCCCATCAAAACATCCCGCATGGCTCTTTCCACCCGCATCAACATCTCCCCTCGTCTCTCGACCCCTTCGAAGATCCCCTCAATTACAACTCCCAAATCAGCTCCCATTCTCAAGCCCGCTGGTCGCTCCCCACCACCCAAGTCCAGCAAGTCAGCCACTCGTCGTTCGCTCATCGCCAAGCCCCGTTCAGACCAATATAGCAAGCGCGGCGTCGCTCGCCCCTTCTCTCTTGCCTCCGTTCTTGCCCAATCCACAACTCCCAAGCCTGCACCTGCACCCAAGACCCCTGCCTCATGGTCCTTCGATATCTACGTCGACGCCGAGCAAGAAGAGATGACAAACCTCATGCAACACTCGACCACCGTCCTGGATATCAGCGACGACGAGGGGAAGTCTGACACCTCTGCCCGTGGAAAGGAGAACGTCCCCCCTCAAGAGCTGGGTATCGAACTCCCCCAGTCCACTGCCACCATTCCTGCCGCTGCTCGCAAGTCGCCAAAGATGGATGAGCCCCGTTCTCCGCTCGGTGAGCTCAATGCCGCTGAATACTATGCCGAGGACTGCAATGCCTTCTCGTACGCAATTGTCTATGATGATGAAGAGCATGTGCGCGAATTCAAGAAGCCCTCTTCGCCTCTTTCCCAGAGCCAGGAGGCCCTTGTCACTACCTCCACTGCTTCTGTTTTGGATGCTGTTACTCCCGCCCCTGCGGAAACCCAGCAGCAAAATCTCGAGGACTCAACTGATACCACCGAGTCTTCTCTTTGATCTGCCTACTCGTCATTCTTTTCATCTGCATCTGCATCTACATCTGGCTTAGTGGCGCTGTTCTTTGGCCTGGATTTGGTCCCCATATCTATACCTATTTGCTTCATTCTTTGGTGTTTGTCTTTCTTGCTAGGTGTTTGTCTCTTTTTGGCCACTGGTGTCCAGTCTATTAGGTGTTTTGGTATAATGTTGGCTACGAATTATGTATCTTTTTTGCTTCACTATTGTGACCACTCGGATTGATTTTCTTTATTCCGTCTAATTGATGAGTTATTGTCTTTTCATGTCTGATGCTTCACGATGTATTCCAAGTCTGCCCATGGCTTTGGCGATTAAAATTAAAATGGATTCTTTTGATGCATATCTTGAGCACAATGTACCATTTCTCTAGGTGTAACCAATCCTCAGGTAAAGTAGTCCCCGTTACTCGTCCTCGTCTTCGTCCATGTCATCACTATCATCACCATCGTCATCGTCATCACCAGCTTCATCACCAGCTTCGTCAGCATCCCTCGCTGCAGCAGCATCCGCAACCTGAGCAGCCAACATCTCCCTCCGCTGAATCTCCTCCTCTTCACCCTCACTCTCCTCATCCGCCTTCTCGGGCTCCGGCTCCGGCTCGGGCTCAACACTCTTCCCCTTCAAAGGCCACTTCCCTTTCACTTTTCTCCCCTCCCCAACATCCCTCCTCACCAAGCCAGCATTAGCTGATAAATTCCTCCAAACCGGCGAACCACGAATAATCGCCCGAACCTCCGTAGCAAGACTAATCTCCTTCGGCGTCGCAATATCAGGATCAAGCGAGAAAAGATGGAAATCAGCCTCGGACCGCGCATGCGCAGGAAGCTGCATGATCCTCGTATAATCCTCATCAACCGGTTCCCTCCCTTCCATCAACGCCTGAATCTTATGTCGCATAACCGCCTTCGCCTTCGCAAGCGTGCCATTCCCGAACCATCCATCTGTAACGATATCGCACTCGCTGCGCAGGAACCCAGGTCCCGCATCGGGAGGGTACAATTCTGCTCGCAGCTGCGCGTCCTGGATCTCACCAACCATCCAGATCCGTCCGTCTTGTGCGAACGGTTGCTTGCCAGTGAAGATATGGCCTGTTGGCGGCCCGCTGGCGTTTTCGTCTTCCACCACGCGCTGGTCGCTTGGTCGTGGGACGTTGTGCCGTCGACCGCCGCCTCCGTCGCGCGCCACCTCGGCTTCTCGTGCCAGCAGGCGGAACATGAAGGTTTGGTAGTGCCGGTACTCTGGTGAGGTTCGTGGGTCGATGCCCAGCTTTATGATTGCGTCGCGCCATGGGCCGGATCGGAAGATGTAGCCTACATATGGAATCGCGTGGCGTAGGTTTAGGCGGTCTTCGTCGGTTGTTAGATTGTTGCGGAGTCCGCGACGTGTCCAGGCGGGTTGTTTTTCGTAGAGGGCGTTTAGCGTTGCGATTGTGCGGAGCATGCCCTCGTCCAACGCGCTTATTGGGAGCATGTCTTTCCGTGGCTCGGATGGTACTTTGGGTATGTCGTAGGGGATCAGGTGAGTTAGGATTTTGTTGGCCGTTTGGGTATTCACGGTTTCTAGTTTGCCGGAGAGGCCAATGGCTTGTTTCACGGTTGGGTTTTGACGGTAGCTGGAGGGGTAGGTTAGTGGGATAGTCTTGTTTTTAGGTATAGTGGCTCTTACATGTAGTGGAATGGGACGTCTCCGTGGCTGAATGATGGTGGTGGGATAAGATCTGCGTTCTCGGCAGCGCCTTTGGCCATGTCGATATCAAACTGCTTCATTTTGTCGACTGTCACTTGTTAGTATGTTTCTGGTGAGGTGCATATCAGGCTGACTTACAGTCAAATGGAAGAATTTGTTCTCGGAATCGGTTCGTAAAGGAACTCGTTGTAGTCGAGTAGACGAAATCAGGGATTCCTACCATCAAACGTTAGCAAACTGGTAATGCATCATCAGAGTAGTGACCTCACCTCGGAACACATGTGTCCGTCCAACCCTCCCAACTGGCTCAATCTGGTACTTGGAAGGGTTATCACTAATACTGCGCAAGAGATCCTTCGCGGTCCGTCGCGGGGCCGGCCCGGATGCTTGTGAAGCTGGTGCGTCTGCGAAAGGCTCGTTCGAGCCTCTCTTGCGCTTCCGTCCTGTCCGCTTGGGAACAGTTACTTTGAGCAGAACATTGTTCGATTGAACGCTCGTTGACTGAACCGATCGAGCCATGGCATCTTCTGGTCGCAACACCAGATTAGCTAGTGTGTCATCTTTGGTCGGGTCCAGGATCTGCAGTATATCAGCATATATTCAATATTCTATCAGAGAAAAAAAGTATTCTCACTGTTTTTATTCCAGAGTCTCCTTGTAAGGTCTCGATCGCCTTGTGGACGTTCCGGACCACGGCCGGGTGTTCAATGCTCACGAGCTGACGGGATGGCACCGCGTAAAAGGTGGCAGTTCTGGACCCCCGCTGGTCATCCATGCTGATTATTTTATATCAGACTTGTGGATATTGTGGTTGCAGGATCATTCGCACTAGCTTTCAATCTTAATTGAGGTTGGTTGTCGCTGTTTCTGGTTTGCGGGTGAGATCACGCAAATGCGACCAAAAGGCAACACTACCACTTTTCTCGAGTGCTCCCTATTCAATACACCTGTTTGTATAGGATATTGTGTTTTTCTTCACCTTCGCCACAATTAAAGGCTCCCGGCGATATCCTTCGGGGTTAGGGAAAGAATCGAGTCTACATTCCACAAGCGGTTAGTGCGCCTAAAACTGGAAATCTTGCTGACTCATCCATCACCTGTACCGTCTAAGCACCCGTGGACGTTTGGAAGAAACATTTCAACAGAGTTCGTTAAATTGGTATTTGAGGCTCAAAGCAGTTTAATCAGATATCCTATAGTTATTCCCAGGTGCTGACAAAGTGGTCAATCACAGGCATATGCTACCAATGAGGTCTGTGTCTCCCATATATAACTATATCTCAGTACATATTTTGCTGCAGGTCCCCTATATTTCGTTTTCCGGCTAGTATCTTTGCCTTCGAACACGGTTAAGAACAAATCGGTTTCACCATCAGCCTCGAATGTCAATAACATCATAAGTCGTCTATCTATACCCAGGCAATATGTTATTGTGAACATATTATACCTAACTAGGTACATAGTAGCCAAAAAGAGGATCACGTCCCTTTCGGGAAGGAACATTTCAATTAAAGGTTATGATTGGTCGAATGATGCCAAGCATTCTTGCCCGAGGTCCTCTTTCCAAAATTGGAAGTCATTTCAACGGATCACCCCTTTCGCCATGCCTAAGGCTGCCTCTACCTCAATAACAACCAGCTCGCTGGAACCCTCTTCAACCTACCAGTACGACATTTTGGGTAGTAGCACGTCCTCTAGCACGGCTGCTTCGGAGACCGGCTCCAAATACCCCGTGTTCCCAAACGACGCCTATATCTCCAGGTTTTATGTTGTCTCATCCGGGGAGTCTGGTCTTACCAACCTTGACATTGATCTCTACAATGAATGCTTCCTGCCGTATAACCCTTTGCAACACCACAATTTCCGGAGGGATGACACGACTGAAAGCATCTCCCCCAAGCCAACCTATCTGATCGACGAGGCTCCGTGTAAACGACAAGCGGCAATTAATGCTAATTGCTACTTCCAAAATACCAACGGCACATTTTCAGGCCTTGAGTTGTATTCGGGCAATTGGGATGTCCAGCAGCAATGCTATTGTGACATATATCCCTTCTTTGACTCGGCAGCCGGTTGTCAGGAATGCTTTCGAAAACATGGAGGCATTGAGGGTGCGTCTTTCCCACAGCATGTTCTATCATTATGCTAAAAGCTAACTTCCACTGAGGCTACCACTGGTTCCCCGAGAATTACGTGAAGGGGGTCTCGAGCGCCTACTGTAGCGCCAATCCCCAAACCACGGGATTCTATCCTTTCGCAAATGCATGGTCGACTAGTTCGGCGGCTAGTTTACCTAGTACTACTGCTGTTGACAGCTTAGGCACGCAGACAGCGGCTAGTCTTTATTACACCTACGCTGCGGAAAGTACAGCTACCGGTGGTAGTAGCGCAGGCGAGAAAAACAGAGCTGTAGCAACCACGCGCCTGAGCTTGAAGAGAGCCTTAGTGGCTGCACTGCCACTCATTCTAATGCTATCCCAATGAGGTTGTATAAATTTGGATCAAATCTGGCGAGCAATGTAGATATGTTATTACAGATGGTTCAGTCTATTCAGCTCATCAGCTAGGGTGGACGTGAGTCCCTGCACGATGTCATGCGACGGTCTTTCAAGGACTATATAGCGAACTGAAAAATACATCAACTGAAACATCAGGTCACTGCTTTCTTCTACGAAGCTCTGGTTTTCATGTCTTAAGTAGTGAGGTAATCCACATCGCAAAATATGTATTAAACAAGAGTCTAGGTCAAGATATCCCAGCATCTTTATCGAGGCTGGTTGGTAGGTTGGTCAAGATTGTAATGCACGATATTCTATCAGCCGCATCTCTCCCTCTCCATGTAGTTGCCATATCTCACTAGCCTGCTGCACGTCCGCTATTTAGCTCTAAGTCTATTGTCTCTTCTATTTGGGCTCTATATCCCTATCGTCAACCCTGTTGTCGTTGGCATTTTCCTTAAATGGTACCATATAAAGGCTATTATCAGGTCCTACTGGTCGTTCATGAATCATAACGTTTTCATTTTGGCCTGGAGGTGTTGCGGCTGTTTATACTGTCGGGATTGTTTTACTGCAAACATCACGTCTTTACCTGGTAAAGATGAAGATGATTTGTGCTTGATAGACTCGAAAAACGATACGGAAACGGATAAACCCGCTAAAAAATAATGCATTTGAGATGCTATGTAATGGCTCTAAAGCAACCACAGAATCAGACGGGAAAACATCAAAGAGGTCCTGGCCAATACACGCCTCACCACGCCACTAACAGGAAACCTCGAAAAAAGAAAAAGAAAAAGCAAAGCGTGAATATCCCCTAGGTGATACAATCACAAAGCCCACCAAAAAGGGTTAGGCGAGAAACTCGATTGATTCAAAACTCAGGAGCCTCCAGAGGAAACTCTTTCTCGATGTAGTCGATGTGGCTGCGAGTGAAATAGGTGTTCTTTGTCTTGACATAGCATCCAACCGAGGTTCTGACAGTCTGATAAAAGGACCAAATTGACATGGCCCAGTGCACTGATCCTTCTTCGCCCATCCGGAGGCGTAGGTACTCCGTGGCTCGGAAGGCATACTGAAGATGCAGCTTGTCGCTACGATGAGTGCTGGGACAGATCGTATGCTCCCTAGCATTGCACCAAGCAGAGTAGCCAGCCTTAGCTTCCTACCTACAGGTTAAAAAATACCCACAGGTGTAGAAATCGAAGGATACTCACATCCGAGACATTGCCTATCAACAAATGAGCCTTGCGATGTGTCTCGACCAGGTCATCGAAGGCAGCACAGAGGCTCTTGACAGCGGAGGAAAGTTGCTTGATGAAATCTCCGGGCCACTCGGCCTCTGGGTTGTCATCGTCCTGCCATTGCTCAATGCAGTCCATCCAGTATTTTTCCACGAATGTAATCAAGGCCATCAGTTCGAAAACATGGCCCCGAATTCCCTGGGGGATCTGTAAAAAGTTTCCAATTGATGTTAGTGTGTCTTACTAGACGGGGCTCGGTGGTAACCAAACTGTACCAGATCACATTTTTGGTCGAATGCTTTACAAGGATCACACGCCTTGGACGGAGCATTCACTATATAGCAATCAATCTGAAGGGCCCAAACCTCATCGCCCATCCATTCGCGGACTGCATCGCGAAAACACGGCAGACACCAAAGGGTATTCAGATGAATGGCTCCTGTGAACGGCTTCTTGCGTGGGGTGTTGGTCAATTCGTCCGAAGATAGTGTGTCTGACTCATGGCAAGTGGTCCGAGGCATGATAAAGTTCGCCATTGTGAGATTCGAGTCTGTTGAAGATAAATGAGTGAGTGGTGAGAATGAAGGAGGAGAGTAAGAGCCAGTGATGAAATCACGCTCGCTCAGTATTTAAGTAAGAGTCAATTGGTAAGACTCCAGGGATAGGGAAAGATGGCGAGGATAGTGAGCGAGGATGACTGACTAGGCTTGTTGTAAAAGATACTTACTGCTTTCTTTGAAACGCTGTTCATCTGTTCTTTGGTCGTGATGATATGAAGAAGAGAACTATGACAACTATACAAATAATCTATTTATACTCAAGATATAACTGTCCATACCTTAGTGCGTGCGGTCTTTGGGGGTCTCCTAGTCACGGTACAATAAGACTATGTGCTCTGATCTTGTGAATAAATTATACTTTGGGATACGTTGTAATATATATTCAAGATTAAATTGAGTAGAGGTTATAGACAACTTGAAAAGCAGAAGGTAATATACGGATGAGTACGATGTGATCCCTGGCTATGAAAATACTCTTGCACAAAGTAAGCTTACCCCTTCGTATACACCTTCATATACACCTAAAAGGACGCCTCAAGATACATCTAAAGAGACATCTGAAAATACACACGGTGGTGCAGCTCCCATCTACAAGCCCTGTTGTCACTCAGGCCGATTCTCACCACAAGAATTATGGCATGGAAACAACGAGTGACTTGCTGGCACAGCCATTGCCCATACTCAAGAGAATGGGACTCGCCACCTATCAAACTATAGGATGATTATTTTGGTCAGATTACCCTATGGATAGACCTCTTCAAGGAGATGGTTCGTCAGGCAATTCGAAATATTGATCTCAATGGTCCGGGTTGCTAAAACAAGGCAATCTTTGAGGCCCTCTAGCACAGACAGCCCGCAGTGGTATATATATTTTCCCCCTTCGCCCTATGCAGCATGCGTGATTCGTCCTTGTTCTCATATGGCTACATATTAGTCCTCGTCAAAGAGAAAGGAGTGCCGTTACAGAGATGTGCGAATGTATCTATCTGCCTAACAGAAAGAGTGTATCTACCAGCAGGTTTCAACTGCTGTTAATGCTCTTCGAGTTCGTCGGAATTGTCTGGACGGACCCTGGTACGCATAATGTGCTTTACCACGAGGACGACATCGACCTATGCAATGGGGAAGAAGTTGTACACCAACCTGGGATGACGGCTATCTTTGGCCATGTGGCAGTGGAACAAAGAAATTCCGATACTTTGGACTCGCTAGGGGTGGATGATGATGACGAATGAACGTGGCATGGTTTGCCATATTGAAGGGAACGTTATTTAGTTTTCTTGCTATCTTGAAAATACACATATTTCGCTCTTGTATGGTGCATCAACGATAGTTACTTGCTGTTTCATGCTGATGGATTTTCTGCCTGAAATTCGAGTCCGATGGTGGTCACGTGGATAATGACATAAGCATGATTTGAAACAAACGGGGAAAAGCATACGAAAGTTGTGTTAGGGGAAGAGGAGGGGAGAATAATTGTAACTGTCGAGTAAATTATTTTTTTTTTGTCTCAAATTGAAGCATCAAGAGATTCAGTTCACTAAAAAAAAACGTAGTGTCTCCCACATAGTACTTAGACGTGGTCCCCCTCCCATCACCATCGCAGCCAGGAGAACCAGCCCGCCTTTCCCTACACCTCAACAACAATCCACTTCCCTCCCTCCTCTCCACAACCCAACGCCATCATCTTTATTTGGTCTCTTGTACATCGGCGACGTTGCCTCTTACTAGTTAAATCGTGAGTTTTGTGCTTTCGCAGTGGGCTGCGACCTGAGTGCCCGTCCCTCTAGTGCTCCCAAACCCCCCGCTCCCAGCCTGCCACTAAGCGACACGGAGATCCTCCAGCGCCGGCCAAGCTTGTCCTATAACATCTCTCCCCAAGCAGTCTCCCACTCGATCTATCAATTGCCCAACCCCAAACCCCGGAAGTACGTTTGATCGGACACCCGTTTCCCATTGCCTGTATTGGCCCTTTCTTCCTAGCATCATCGTCTAGCTCCGTGCGCGTGCTGCGACTGCACATTGTTTGGAGCACCTGATGCTATTGCAATTGAACCCCAGTTTCTCCCCTACGCATTGCCGAGGCTTGATACCGGTTTTTCAGCACTATTTCCCTTCACAATAACTGTCTTACATGCTGTGTGACTCGGACCGCTTATAAGATTCTCCTATTAGGTCGATCCAAACACTCCCCCCCTCGTGGCTTTCCTGAGCGGCTATCTCCGTTGGCTCCCCTCGATTCACTCCGGCTAGAGTGCGCCGCCTGGCTGCACTAGCACCAAGAAACCTAGCCGAGTACATGTGGCTATCTACACAGTCGTCAAAATGAAGGGTTTCAGACAGAGAGTGGTGAGTTACCCGCCTATCCTGCCCAAGTGAAACTCACCGCACCATCACTTCTGCCCATTTATTCTCTCCTTCACCCTGCAGGTGGTGCTATCTTGTTCATTTCACAAATCATCTAACATGGTGTGCCTTGATTCTAGCACGACCAGTTGTCGCGGGCGAAGGACAACAAGTCCTCGAAAAAGAAAGACTCCACCTCCACCTCACAGAATCAGTCCCTCGGCATTTCCAACACACAGCAGTCTACTTCCCCCAACCAAGGGACACCCACATCCTCCACAACCTCTCTCAATGACTCGCGAAACAAATCGCCCGACAACGCTTCCCCCGCCGGTACTCCTTCCGCGGGCGCACCTCACCCTGGCACCCCGGTTCAACACTATATACCCCAACCGGGCGCCACAGGACAGCCTGTAGGCAATGGCCCGGGAACACCGAATAGGCAAGGCCAGCCGGCGGCTCCCAGCGTCATCATTAGTCCAAGCGCACCGGTAAGTTGAATTGCGCCACACTTTGATGCCTGTTTGCTTTTGCTAACAACTGGATTCTATAGCATGTCCCCCTCCTGGCGCCGCCGAAACGATGCCCGGAGATCTCGCACCTCCTAGGAAGTCCCATGTCTTCGACCGCCTACAGACGACTCCTAAGGACATGTCGGAAGGTATCCGGACTCCCAAGCGCCAACATTCGTCGCGATTCGACATCTCCGACCAGCGTCAGAGAGAATTGGAGAAGTTGCCAGGATTCCACGAAGTGCCTCCCAACCGGCGCCAAGATTTGTTCATGCAAAAGATCGACCAGTGCAACATCATCTTCGATTTCAACGACCCGACGGCTGATATGAAATCCAAGGAGATCAAGAGGCTGGCACTGCACGAACTCTTGGATTATGTTGCCAACAACCGGTCGGTCATTACAGAGCCCATGTACCCCCGCGTGGTGGAGATGTTCGCCAAGAACCTGTTCCGTCCTATTCCTCCGCCTATGACGCCCCAAGGCGAAGCGTTTGACCCGGAGGAGGATGAGCCCGTCCTGGAAGTCGCTTGGCCTCATATTCAGGTCGTATATGAATTCTTCTTGAGATTCATTGAAAGCCAGGATTTCAACACGAACATCGCGAAGGGTTATATCGACCATCAATTTGTGCTTTCGGTATGTCTTCTGGTGCTTGATTTTCATATTTAATGCAATCTAATGCTTCATCTAGCTGTTGGATCTCTTTGACTCGGAAGATCCCCGGGAACGTGATTTCCTCAAGACAACCCTGCATCGTATCTATGGAAAGTTCTTGAACTTACGGTCATATATCCGCAGATCCATCAACAACGTCTTCTTCCAGTTCATGTACGAGACAGAGCGCCATAACGGAATCGCTGAATTGCTCGAGATTCTTGGCTCTATTATCAACGGGTTCGCCTTGCCGCTGAAGGAGGAACACAAGCTCTTCTTGACTAGAGTGCTCCTGCCCATGCACAAGGTGAAGAGTCTCAGCATGTACCACCCGCAATTGGCCTACTGCATCGTGCAATTTTTGGAGAAGGACTCCTCATTGACTGAAGATGTAAGACCTCATCTATCTTTCTCCAATATACCTCTAGTACTAACCACTATGTTTAGGTTGTTCTCGGCCTACTGCGCTTCTGGCCCAAGACAAACAGCACTAAGGAAGTTATGTACCTGAATGAGGTGGAAGACATCTTCGAGGTGATGGATCCGGGCGAGTTCGCCAAAGTCCAAGAACCTCTGTTCAATCAGTTGGCCAAGTCTGTTGCCAGCCCCCATTTCCAGGTCGCTGAGCGTGCTTTGTACTTCTGGAACAACGAGTACTTCTGTAACCTTGTGAGCGACAATGTGGAGACAATTCTCCCACTTATGTTTGCCCCACTTTACGAGAACTCGAAGGGACACTGGAACCGGTGAGTTTTGATCTCCATATGCTACTGACTTTGACATGAGCTAATGCATCATTCAGAACAATCCACAGCATGGTGTACAATGCCATGAAGATGTTCATGGAGATCAACCCGCAACTCTTCGATGAATGCTCTCACGATTACACGGAGCACCAGAACAACGCAGACCAACGCGAAAAGTCTCGCACGGACCGGTGGGATGTGATTGAACAACAGGCCAAAGATCGGAAGAATGGCATTCCCCCACCACCACCTCCCGCTCTTGATGTGCCCGAGCCGATCGACGAGGTGGAGGCCATGACCCACGAGAGCCAAAAGCGGTTGAACTCCCTGAAGTTGCAAGAGGATCCCGATATTTCCAAGGATCGGCCCAGCCGGGAAGGTACACCTAATTCGGTAAGCCCAGTGCATCTCTGATCTGCGTTGCTACCCAGATACGTGCATGCCTATGCGAACTACTTCGTTTTCGTTTGGCCCTATCGCCCTCGTCTTTGTCTTTTGCTAAGAGACCACGTCCGCCCATGTACAGCCAGCGTGATTCTAACGTGAAAACGTCCGTTTGCTCCAGACACGACGCCGAGGCTCGATTCGCAACACTGGCCGGCGACGACGGAGCGGAAGCGGAAGTGAGATTCGCCCGCGACGACGATCGGTCGGCAGTGGTACCAGTGCAACCAATGTACAGATCATGCATCGAAGCAATTCTACCAAATAACGTCTCGGAGGAGATGGACTGCTGATGGACATGTGATTTTCCCGTTTCTTTTCTCCTGCGATGGCATAGCGAACTATGGGGCAACAATATTTTTGTCTTTTGATTTTCGGCGGTACTCGCCCGGACTGATGCCCTCAACCTGTGCCCCCTTGCCCTTTTTTTTTTATTTGTGTTCCCATCTTCCCCATTTTGTTCCCCTTTTCTTTTGTGTACATGGATTTTCTTTTTTTTTTTCGAGATATTTTCCCTTCCGCGACGGGCTCCCTCAAAATTTGAGTTGGGACCAGTCTTAGAACCGTGTTCGGGTATGGAAAACGGGTGCGAATGGCGTTTCATCCATTGACCACGATGTCGGTGGCTGTCTATGTGTTGTTTTCTTGTTGTTTCTCTTCCATTATTTTAGACCAGTTCTAGGATATGACATTGCCTTGGAATGTGACGTTTGGAGTGCTTGTAGACTTGCTTGGAACTGTCCTGTGAACCAACTTTATCTAATATGTCAAGCTTTATATCATTGTAGCTTGTCTTAAATAACAATTTGTACTGAGATGCGGCAGTACCAGGAAGTACAAAGCGTAGAAATATGAAAAGAGAACAAAAGAGAACGTTATAATTGACCTCGACCCGTGTATTTTCATCAAAGGAGCGATTGTCGTAATCGAGGGAGATATGATCATCCAATGCTGGTGATGACGCTCAATGGCTTGGTCGCATGATGCACAATCTGTTCCAGCTGATCGAAAAGACGATCCATGATATCCGAAGCATATTCCTCAGATACGGTCGTTGACCAGTAGCGCAGTTCCACCTTGACGTGGGAAGGGGAGCGAAGGATAGCCACACAAAGGTCATACTAAAAATATTGCATCGTTCAAATCAATGAGTTTGATATCGACCTCATTGCTCCCATTCTTCGCAGGAGATGCTTGTGTTGAGAATGCTGCCAGAACAGTATTAAACAGCTGCTGGTCATTGTCCAGGCCCCCTAGTCCAGATTTGCGGATGACATCTGGTATAGAACAGCTCCAAGCGTTGCTAACCTGCATACATAGCAGTAACTGACCCCGGAGGAGAAATTTCAAAAGTTGCAGTGCTCGTGTAATTGGACGTATAGAGCTCCAATACACCAACCACTGTGGGCGACAGAACATGGGTAGATTCCTTCGATGGAATCCGATTTCAACAAATTCAACTTAGATCGAACTAGTATATCCAGCTGGTAATCGATGTGCTCGAACTGGACAAGTTGATCTTCACGTCGAGCCGAGTCTTGAGAATTCACGAGTTTCTGGCGTTTGGAATTAAAGGCCTGGTCCAGAGTCACAACAAAATGTGTGGTGATGTGAATAAGTTTATCTTTCCCCTCTGATTGGACACGTTCTTGTGTTTAGTTGTATATCGCTTTTCTACCAGGATGTTCTATCGAATTGGAACAATTGACTCAGACGCACATACTATTTAGTCGCATGGTTACCTTTATCAATAATTTGTTAAGAGATCGGTCTTCCATGATATTTGGGATTTGGGTTGAAGAAACATACCTTCTCAATATATCTCACACCCACTTCAATGCCATCGGCATCTTCAAAATCGGCCTTCTCTCCGAAGTCGACATTTTTGGCATCCAAGCATGTCAAACAAGTGACAACAACGTCGGAGTATCGGGTCCCCATTCGCTTCCGTAGTTCACCCTGCGCCAAGAAGAGGAGATGCTTTTGGAAATATAACCCTCGGCCTGTTCCAAGAATAGAAGCCCGAACAGGGATTGGAGCCTTGTCATCGCTTGCCGTAGTCAGCTCGTCGTACGACACGAATGACTCCCACAATCCCAGCTCTAACAGGCATACACCAAGGCTGTAGATATCATGTTGCATGATATAATCTTCGGAGGAAATGCTTCCTATGCGGTCTGGGTGTTGGTAAAGGCATCGTTCCCAGGACGCTTCGCCTTTGCGCAAAGTTCTACCAGAGGCCATTCGGAAGCTGTCAAATCCGATCAAGAAGGCAGATCCAATTGAGGATTCATCACTTCCCAAAAGTAAGATTGTCTCTGGTCGGATGTTCTTGTGGACAAATCCAAACAAGTGAACAGAATGCACTGCTTTCGCAAGCTCGTTTGCTAACTTGAACCGGTCGGAGAGGGAGTGGCTATGGTTCATGTCCTGAAAACAACCTCGGAGAGAGCGAGGTGGAAGATGCTGTGTTGGCATTCGGAAGATGATGGTAAATGCATCTGGCGTAGGTTGAGAACAGTCGTCGTTCCGGTGGTGGATATATCCTTTACAGCTAAGGAGACCGAACTCGATCGCATCGGACCCAGCCAGCCGTCTGGCAAGATCTCGGATATCTTTCTTCATATCCCGACATTGGCCCCTGGAAGAGGTTCGATTCGTTCGACGATGAGCGATTGGCCATTATCTGGCCTCCGGCCCACCTGCGCTGAGCAAAATGGTATCTCTTGTGGGTTAATAGGAATGAGAGAATCCGATGGGAGGCGAACCGATGGAGTGTACGCGTCTGTCGGATGCAACGCTATCCTGAGAGACTGCGCAGGAGGTATCGGGTCTTGAAATTTCATAGCAGAAGATATTCGGTTCTTCCTTAGGCCATCATCGATTTGACGGTCTGTGACCTTCATGATCAGATACCACGATGGGTCAAATAGTGATTGCCATTCTTTCAAATCCTCAATAGTCCGGTCAATCTTTTCCTTCATAAGCGCATATCTCCACCGATGTACTTCCAGTTCTTGGTCCCCATCAGGATGACTCTTTATGGTGGACTCAACATTGTTGATCGCAATTTCCAACTTGGTGACGAGCATTGCAATCGTCGCATGTTGTATCATCCGATGCTTCTCACTGAGCTCAGAAGCAATTTCCCGCACCACATTCAGCTGGAGCTCCGTCCTCATCCAGTATGTTTCCACACGGAGGGATCTCTCTTTAATATCGCCTTTGGCGTGTGCAATTGCGCTGCATAAGTGAACCAGTTTCGTGCCATATCTGACATATGATCAGTTTAAACAATCCGGTTACGGTTTCTAACTCACTTGAAGCAGAGGTCTACCGCCGAAATGATCGAAATAGGGTCCACCATATTAAACAGAGTCTCGGGGATCTTGATGCAATATCATCACAGGGGAACAATAATCACGGCTGCCCGAATGCGGGGGCTGACACCATGTGGAAAGTGGGTGAGATGATCACGAGAGCTGTTGGGGGGCCACCACCATCAAGATAATCGGGTTTGCCAGGCAAATGGTTATTTTATGATTCTACATTTTATGGTGTTATGTGAGATAGTAATGAGTGAAAAGGTTAATGTTATTAATCCGTAGGAAAGTCTAATCACCGTCCTTCATCTTTCGCTGGCGTTTTCGTATACAATATACCTCACTTAGTAAATAATCGTGATAATTTTTCTATTCAACGTATAAGCCATTCATAGACCCAAGGTGATGGAAACTTCTCTGCCGTATAGCTTGTCGTGATGCGATAACAAACCCTCATGCAAGGATATATATAGTTATGCCGATCTGTATGTGGGCCTCCCCTCTCGATTCTCGAAATCCAAAGTCGAACACGGTATTTTCCATGAGCAAAGGCTGTTTCAAGGATAGATACGTAGGTCAGCATGTGTGCATAGATTGAGTGATCCCAAGTTACATGGCTAACTCACGTATGTATCTAAGTTCGGTCTTCTCATACTTTGTCCTGTACGCTCGTCATGACCCATGATTCTAAACCTATGACTTACAGGTGGATGCGGTCTATCTTGAATCCCTAGAATATACAAAGACAGACTATAGAGTTAATCGGTGCGGTATTCCTTCCTTCTGCAGCCTGTGCTTACCGACCACCACCCCAAAGTACCCTAGGTACCTGTGAAGCGGTGCCTACATAGTATGTTACGGTTGATTTCTATCAAGCAGTCAGAGGAAAGGAAACATCTAGATCAACCAATGGGTGTATAGCTCACAAATAAATTAAACCAAAAAAGAAAATCATTCAAACAGTTGAAGCCGTAGTTGTATGTATGTATAGTCCTGCCAGGCGGGAGATCCTCGGAACGGAACAACCACCTCCGACATAATTACCAAATGCGGACTAGTGTTTCTTTCGGGGTCTCTGCGATAGCCCGCGTCCTCTGTTCTGCTCTCACGAATATCGCGCCGCATACAAACCCCAACTTTCTCCCCATCTCCCTCAGCCTGTCCTCCCCGCGGGGTAATTCGATTTCACTCATTTTCTGTCCGGATTTGATTTATTTGAATGGACTAAACGGATTATCAACCTGGAAAAGCCAATGACTTGATGATTTCCTTCGTTTTAAGTTCTACCGTCTCCGATCTTTTCGCATATCAACCGAGTCCACAGAGCTTCCGCGACACCACAACACAACATATGAGACCCCAATCCCCCCCTGGGAAGACTGCGCACACTCCGCTCTCCTCAGCCGGCCTCTTGGCCCGGCCGTAATTGCTGTTTCTTTTCATTTAGTCGCAGCCCTTGAGACGGGTCAGATCACAGCGATGGAGCGAAACATAGATATCTACGCCAGCAAGCTCGCCGATGAGAAATTGGGTGTGTTACCGAAATCCATAACGACGAGAATCGTTGTCCAGTATCTGTGCTAACCACCCCGTTATCTCAATAGATGTCAAAGTCCGAGCCAATGTTGCTACCGAATTACGAGACAGTATTGAGCCTCTATGCTCGGGCGCAAGCTACCCCATATTCCTAGCGAAGCTATGGCCGGTATTCAAAAACATTCTGAAGGGAGACCCGGTCTTCTTCAGCATGTCTTACGACCAGGTAAGATTCTTTGGCACAAGCTTGCCCTCGGTGGATGTTGCACGCAATAGGCTAATCACTTTGGCCATCCATTAGAAATTACGAAACTGCATCCTCGAGACACTACACCGATTGCCAATGGGCTCCCCCGACGTGGAGCCGTACGCCGTCGATATGGTCGATCTGTTGATGGAACTCGCGCGGATCGAGAACGAAGACAATGCGGTGCTATGCATGAAGACTATAATGGATTTGGAGAGGAACCAAGCCAAGGCCACCGCACACCGGGTGCAGGCTTTCTTGGAGCTTATCCAGGAAATGTTCCAGACTATGGAGCAAGTGGTTCGGGATACTTTCGACACTCCCAACCAGGCCACGCCCTCGGGAATGCCATCAACGCCCAACGCAACAGCACAGAACTTCCAGTCTCCGCGACCGAGCTCGCCTGCCACCTCAGTGTCAGATCTAGGACCTGATCAACAGTCGAGCAATGTTCTCCTCAAGGGCATGCAGTCGTTCAAGGTCCTCGCAGAGTGCCCGATTATTGTCGTTTCAATCTTCCAGACACACCGCGCATCGGTACCGGCCAACGTTAAACTGTTCGTGCCCCTCATCAAAACGATCTTACTGCTTCAGGCGAAGCCGCAGGAAAGGGCACACGCAGAAGCAGCAGCTCAAGGGACAATATTTACGGGCGTGTGCAAGGAAATTAAAAATCGCGCTGCATTTGGCGAGTTCATCACGGCTCAGGTTAAAACGATGAGCTTCTTGGCATACCTGTTGCGTCTCTATGCCCATCAGCTGCAGGACTTCCTTCCTACACTCCCTTCTGTGGTCGTTCGCCTCCTTCAAGATTGTCCACGGGAGAAGTCGGGCGCAAGGAAAGAGTTGCTGGTAGCCATTCGTCACATCATCAACTTCAACTATCGCAAGATCTTCCTTGAGAAGATTGATGAGCTTTTAGATGAGCGGACTCTCATCGGAGACGGCCTCACTGTCTATGAGACCATGAGACCATTGGCTTACAGCATGTTGGCTGATTTAATACACCATGTTCGTGAGCATCTGAGTCGCGACCAGATACGACGAACGGTTGAGGTCTACACTAAAAACCTTCACGACGATTTCCCTGGCACCAGCTTCCAAACAATGAGTGCAAAGCTTCTCCTGAACATGGCAGAGAATATCTCCAAACTAGAAGACAAGCGTGAGGCGCGGTATTTCTTAATCATGATTCTAGATGCTATTGGTGACAAGTTCGCATCGATGAACCACCAGTTCAAGAACGCTGTCAAGGTTTCTAGGGCGTACAAGGTTTTCAGACAGGATACCGAGCCGTGCGCCGAGAACTATCTTGCCGAGAAGGACCAGCCACCGGACTGGGATGAAATTGACATATTCTCGGCCTCCCCTATCAAGACATCTAGTCCGCGTGACCGTGGAGGTGACCCTGTTACGGACAACATCTTCCTCTTCCGAAACTTGATCAATGGGCTAAAGAATATCTTCCGGCAATTGAAGAACTGCAACCCAGATGATGTTCAAATTGACCCGAACAGCGTTCCCATCAACTGGTCAGAAGTCTCGTACGGCTACAACGCAGAAGAAGTTAGTGTGATCAAGAAGCTCTTCCATGAGGGAGCTCGGGTGTTCCGCTACTATGGGGTCGATCAATCTCCTCCTGAGATGAATTACGCATCTCCATTTGACTTCCTCGCAAGCCAGTACACTGCCCCAATGTCGCGCGAAGAAAAGGAGCTGCTGGAAAGTTTTGGCACTGTTTTCCACTGTATTGATACCGCAACCTTCCACGAAGTCTTCCATTCCGAAATCCCGTACCTACACGAACTCATGTTTGAACATGGGGCTCTCCTTCACTTGCCCCAGTTCTTCCTCGCCAGTGAGGCCACTTCTCCCGCTTTCTCCGGTATGGTTCTGCAGTATCTTATGGAACGGATTGATGAGGTTGGTACCTCGGACATGACCAAGGCAAAGATACTTCTAAGGATGTTTAAACTGTCCTTCATGGCGGTGACGCTGTTCTCTGTGCAAAATGAGCAGGTACTCCACCCGCATGTGACGAAGATCGTAACCAAGTGCATTGAGCTTTCAGTCACAGCCGAGGAGCCTATGAACTACTTCCTTCTTCTGAGGTCTCTCTTCCGAAGCATTGGTGGGGGACGATTCGAGCTCCTCTATAAAGAGATCCTCCCGCTTCTAGAAATGCTCCTCGAAACATTCAACAACCTGTTACTTGCGGCTCGGAAGCCACAAGAACGGGATCTTTACGTGGAACTCACCCTCACCGTTCCTGCCCGACTCAGTCATCTCCTCCCCCATCTTAGCTATTTGATGCGCCCAATTGTCGTCGCCTTGCGTGCCGACTCTGATCTTGTAGGCCAAGGTTTGCGCACTCTCGAACTCTGCGTCGACAACCTCACGGCGGACTACCTCGATCCAATCATGGGCCCGATAATGGACGAGCTAATGACCGCACTCTGGGATCACCTGCGCCCATCTCCTTACAACCACTTCCATGCACACACCACCATGCGCATCCTGGGAAAACTTGGCGGACGGAATCGGAAGTTCCTCAACCACCCGCCCGAATTGTCGTTCCAGCAGTTTTCTGATGACAACCCAAGCTTCGATATCAGGCTGATCGGCCCGAACGAGAAGCGGCCTTTCCCTATAGATATCGGTATTGATCTTGCTGCGGGGAAACTCATGGAGGTCCCCAAGACGGACTCCGGCAAAGCCTCGGACATCTACTACAAGCAACAAGCCTACCGTATGCTCAGCTCTCACCTCAAGCTCCAAATTGGTTATGACAACATCCCTGAAGACTTGGCAATCTTAATTAGACTCCACGCCAATGATCTATTCGAGAATAAGCCAGGTGCTATGGCAGACATCCTTGATAAGTCTGAAAGGTCGGCCTCTATCCCGAAGAAGATTGCGCAGGAAGCTACAGTGAAGAAGCTTATCAAGGCTTGTATCTTTGCTACCACTATCCCCGAGCTAGAGCAAACTGCCACAGGGTTCGTGGCGGATGTTTGCAAGCACTTTGCTCTTGTAGAGGTCGGTCGTGCCCTGGCCCAAGTCCGACACGGTCGCAAAGCCTTTGACGTTGCAAACGGGGAAGGCCCTGTGTACCTTGACTCTAGGATTCTCGCCGAGGCTTTAGTTGAGTGTTTGTCATCCGATGAGGTGCACGTCCGAGAAGCAGCTGAGCAGGCAATGGTAGTTGTGAAGGATGCCGCGGGCGTCATCTTTGGATCACCGGAAAAAGCAGCCAAGCTC